GTTCTCTAAGCCACTCCTTATAGGACTTGTTCTCTAGATCCTTCACCAGCTTCATTACTCTTCTTCAGACAGTCCAGTACCTTGGTATCTTTCCTGTAGTGAATGGCTCAAAATCTTTGAGATATGGCCCCACTAGTGCTGAGTACAAAGGGACAATCACTTCCACAGTCCTGATGGCCACACTATTTCTGATACAAGCCAGGGAGCTGCTGGCCACCTGAGCACACTGCTGGCTCATATTCATCTGGCTGTTGACACACCCCTAGCCCCTGGTTCTCTTCTGTCAGTCAGCTTTCCAGCCATCCATCCCCAGCCTGTTGCATGGGGTTATTGTGGCCCAAATGGAGGACCCATCACTTGGCTTTCTTGAACCTCATACAGTTGGCCTTGGCCCATCAATCCAGCCTATTCAGATCCCTCTGTAAAGCCTCCCTACCTTTAAGCAGATGAACACACTCACCTAACTTGGTGTCCTCTGCAAACTTACTGAGGGTGCCCTTAATCTCCTCACCCAAATCATTAATAAAGATATTAAACAGAAATGGATGCGGTACTGAGCCCTGGGTAACACCACTTGTGACAAGCCACCACACTGATCTAACTTCATTCACTACAATTCTTTGGGCCTAGCCATCCAGCCATTTTTTTAATCATCAAAGGGTACAGCCACCCAAGACATGGACAGTCAGTTTCTCCAGGAAGATGCTGTAGAAAACAGTGTCAAAAGGTTTCCTGAAGTCCAGGTAGACAACATCCACAGCCTTTCCCTCATCCACTAAGATCAAGCAGGACCTGCCTTTTAAACCCCTGCTGACTGTGCCTGATTGCCTGGTTGTTCTGTATATGGTGTGTAACAGCACTCAAGATGATTTGCTCCATAAAGAGATGGAAGCATCCCTTCGTGTCCATGAGTGTAGTTTGCTAAACTCTAGTTCACTGGGACTTCCCCATGCAGCCAGGACTGCTGATAAATTCTGGAAGGTGGCTTGGTGAGCACTTCTACCAGCTCCCTTGGTGCCAGTGGATCCCATCCATCCCCACAGACTTGTGTGTGTCTGAGTGGTGCAGCAAGTCACTGACCATTTCCTCTGGGATTCGGGGGCTTCATTCTGCTCTTCTTTCCTGCCTTCCAGCTCAGGGGGCTTGGTACCCAGACAAGTGGTCTCACCATTAAAGACCAAGGCAAAGAAGGCATTAACAATCTCAGCCTTTTCCTCATCCTTGGTCACTTCTCCCTGCATCCAGTAAAGGACAGAGATTCCCCTTAGCCCTCCTTTTCTGGCTAATGTATTAGAAACATTTTAAATTACCTTTTACTACAACAACAAAATTACATTATGGTTGGGGTCTGGCCTTTCCAATTTTCTCCCTGCATAACCTCATGACATCCCTGTAGTCCTCTCGAGTGGCCCGTCCCTTCTTCCAAAGACCATAAACTGTCCTCATTTTTTGCCAAGTTCCAGCCAAAGATTTCTATTCAGCCAGGCCTGTCTTCTTCCCTGCCAGGTCGTCTTTCGTCACATGGGGATGGCCTGCTCCTGTGCCTTTGAGATTATGTTCTTGAAGAATGTCCAGCCTTTCTGGACCCCGCTGCCCTTCAGGACTGCCTCCTAAGGGACTCTGTCAGCCAGGTACCTAAAGAACGATAGATTCCTGCTTTCTCAAGCCCACCTTCATGCACATCACGTGGCAGGGAAGTAGAGACACAAAAATTGAGTAAAGGGTATTATTTGCTACCAAAAAGGAACCTGAAGAATGCAAAATGCTATCAGCGAGCACTGACAGGTGTTTACAGAGTTTTGAGACAATCTGGATAATTTTTTTTGCTTATGTGTAAACATGATGAGGGCGACAGCACTTAGCCCTTCTGGCACACTTAGCACATCACGCTGCTGCTGCTTGCAGGAGTAAAACTCAGGGCAGAAACCAAGTCCAGGGAGGAATCATGATGTGAAATAGCAAATACTAATATCAGAGTGAACCAACAATCTCCTGGTCACAACTGCCAGAGCACCATGAAAACCATCAGGGAGTTTGGATGTTCCTTGCTCCCTGGAGAGCGGAGCTCTACATGCACCACTGGCAAAGCACACTCCTCCCTCGTGATGGAGCTTCCTTTTGAGGAACCCTCATGCGTCCCATTGCAGCACACATCACTGTCACTGCAGCAGCTGATTGGGGGTCTGCCACAGCCAGTCCTCCATCACATTCAGAGCCTGCTTTTCTGCTTCTCACTGACCACGCTCAAAAGAACTGGTCATTCATAGTCTAAAAAGTTTTCCAACAAATTGTATTATTAAATTCCTTAAACAGTGCTGCCCACTCCTAATCCCTTTTTGCCAACACCCCTTTCAGGAAAAACTGCTGCACACCATGGTGCCTGATTTATATTTCATTTTGAAAACAGGAAGCAAAGGGATTAAAGTTGGGGATTAACACACTTACTCTTTACGGCATTTTTTCTGCAGAATAGTTTCTTAGTTGCCATGGGCACTGCTTACTGACCCTTAGCCCCTGAATGCACTTCTTTTTGCATTAGTGACATCTTTTAAATGGACTCTATAGAGAACAAATGAGGGAAAATATCCTCATGTTCAACTGCTCTCAAAGTAACAAAATAGATTTGCTTTCCTTTCAATCCGTTCTCTCCCTTTTGCAGTTTTAATAGTGAAATCTGAACTAAGAGTTTGAATAAGAGCAAGTGAAATCTGAAAAATGCAGAAGCAAAATGGGCTCACACTGGAGAATCTCCTCACGAGGCAGGTGTTCACAAACACAGCAGTTTGTCCAGATTAATATAGTCACATAATGGAGAATGTCACCGGTAACTAGCTTAATGCTTAAATAACCTGCTGAAATACCAATGATGTAATGCATTAACCCTCCTTGGCTCCCTCTTTCCTCATCAGTTAAACATTCTGAGTTAGAAAAAAAAAAGTGAATTGATTTCCTATAAGAAACACATGAACCATTGTGCTTCTTGACTCACAAAAAAAAAAAAAAAAGCCTTTTTCAAATACTAAGAAATGAATTTAAAGGAGAGAGTGAAAATAAATGTTGCAAAATTTAAAAAGACCCCTGCAAATACACTAGTTAAAGAAAACCACCAGATACTGTTTTCTGTTCATTTTCTGTACTAAATCTAAATGCTGGTGTAAAATATTGTTTATTCCAAAATCTTTATACCAACTGGTAGCCTCATTAATTATGCAGTAAAATCAACATGTAGTCACAATAAAAACACCTGCTTTAATGTAAAAGCATGTAAACGATTAATAATCAAGGAGTGTGCAGCCTTGTAAGAAGCAAGAGCTCTATATTATTTTGCTGAGGCAATAATGTACTTGCTGACATGACCCTACAAAATACAGAGACAGACCATCTCTCAAAACTTTGTTGAAGACCCCACATTAACCTCTAACGAAAACACGTGTATGTCTTATTTCCAGAGAAATACTGTTGAATAGGGGCATATGATGTCTTTAAGCACTTGTATTTTTTCCCATATCTCTTTTTCATTGTAAAATGGACAGGTTTATATACATTACATATAACAGGGCTCTAAGAGAGAAAAGGTGAACTGTTGGGAAAGGGATAGAATAGGACTGGGCTTCAGAATAATTCATTTATTGAGATCTGCCTCTAAAGCTGGAACTTTATATCCCCTTCTTGCTAATATGGTGGTTGCACAGTGACAGCAGAGCAATATCTGCAAGATCACTACTATCTGTGCAAGGTGGCTTCTGCAAAGCCCCCTCAGCTCAAATGGAAATCTTTGTCAAGGTCAGCATAGGTTGCTCTGCAAGACAATTCCAGGAATTGCTTTGGTCAGGCAATCCGTGTCCTTATTTCATTATTTCCAAAATGCTCCACACTTAGTGTGGGCCACTGTTCTCTTTGAGCTTCTACTACTGTGCAAAGTAGGAATGGGTATGGCTGAGGTGTAATACAGCCTGTTTCACCTCAGCAGTGCAGTGTAGCAGTTCTTTTCTTTCAGGAAAAAATCAGGAAAAATATTCTGAAATATTTATTATCTAAAATTCTGTCCCAGAAAAACCCAGGAAAACAGACACAAGCACAACTGCTGTGTTAGACTAAGTACCTATCAAATAAATAAAGAGCAAATAAGACTAAACACTTCACTCTTTACCTGATACATGTTCCTCTGTAGAGTATAAGTACTATGCTATAGATCTGCTGAGATACTAAGCCATGTGGCCAGCTGAATCCATGCATGGTTTCCATTCATTCCATTTGAATGAGCAAAGATGACGCAGGTTTCCAGGAAACACACAGTTTGCAGAGGCAATTGTCAGGTAACTTTCAATATCCCAAAGCTTGCCTCTATAATGTATCTGATCCATAACTAATTTACACAACGAGATCAAAGACATGTCTAGACACTGTTAAAAATTGCCAAAGAATCAAAGACTGGGCAGCTGAAAGATTATATTATTTGGTATAAATTCTCTTTCAGTTCAAGGCTCAGACCAAAGATTTTTATCTTCCCTTTAGGTGGTCTTGTTTACATGAATTGCTCAAATTATTTTTTTTTCCACAAGATGCATCCTCACCCACTACACTTTCCTTTAATTAAATGGAAACAATCTTTTAAATGTTTAGTTTTTTGGCAGGACACACTGGCTTAAAGAACAACTACACATGACAGCAGTTGTTCACGGGTATAACTATGGATAAAATTCAAACTGTATCTACAAGCATAGCCACTGCCCTGTTCAGAAGATAAGGTAGATGTTACTGAACTACTTTGTCCTTGCCAGACAGCTGTATGAAATCAAAGCAATCTCTTGTCCTTTTTTAAAATTATCTCTTATCTATTTGAAAATGCACTTTCTAAAAAGAGAAAACCTCTTAAAAAGGCATTAAACAATGCAGATGTTCATGACAAGATCTGAACAAAGCCAGTGGAGGGTCTGTTCCATTCACAGTAGGACTTACACTGTCATACTTAAAAGTGAATTAAACCACATAGTAACTGTTTACAAGGAGATCACGAAGAAGACAACCATTTTTAGAAATAATTGTAGTCCAGGGGAATGCTGTGCCTTATCACTCCTCTCAGCATCCTTTTGCACTCTCATTTTGAGTGCTATATAGTTTTCTATCACTGACTTCCCTGCTTCAGAGGAGCTCCATCCAAATTCTGCAAGGGAGGATAAAATCCAGACACAGTCAGCAAGTTTTACTTTTAAAAATAAGATTGGAAGCACTGCTTTTTATCCCACCAAAATATTTTTAAAGTACCATCTGAGTATTATGATGCATATAGATTCTACCTAAAATGTTTTGCTGAACATATTCAACATCTTTTCAAAGGTGCTTGCATGGTATTTGTGTATGTTTGATCTCATGCTTATGAATGTTTTACAAATTACATGAGGATTAAAGCAGGCATGGTTCTCTTTATTCTTCTGCTTTCCTTTGAAAAGTAAATGAAAGTTTATAGTACTATCCACTAAGTTGCTCGTGCTGAATGTATTTATGCTGGAATCTTCTTGGTCTACAGGATTTCATCCCATTACGTGGAGAGATACCTAGTTAAATATATTTGGTGGATTGTCAGAGGCTGGGGATTGGGAGGGGAGAGGGAATAGTGTCTGCCTCACAAGATTTGTAGAAAAGGCATTTCTACCTTAAATGGTAGGGCATAAATATGTATCAACAAAAGTTGCTTAAAATAATTCAGAGATGGAAATATATCTACATCACACTGCAAAATCTGGCCCCATCCTCATGGGTCAAGGAAAGGGACAAAGCTTTGGAGACAGATCCAGAAAATCTAGGCTGAAGACTATGTAATGTTTAGCACACTAAGTAGCTGATTCTGCTGTTAAGAATATACCTCATCCTGCTACTTTAAGTCTATGCAACATCAAAGACACATTTGCAAATACAGTCTTGGAGATCCAGCAACTTAAGACACCACAATAATGTCAGTTGGTGTGTAGAGGGAGGTTAAAAGGAGGATTAAAAGCAGTCAGGCACGATATATTAAATGAATCCATGACTAACAGGGTGTGACAGCTAAGGGTCTCATTCTTTTCAACGGAATAGATCCCCAGGGCTGGAAGTATTACTCCAGTGTGCCTTTATCACCTTGGAATTTTTATGGTTATTTTTGATGAATTCACATTTTTGTAAAGACTTTTTCGACATTAAGCCAACTTTCACTTTTAATTAAAGCTATAAATAATCTTAATTCTGCATTGAAAGGTTTATTGTTTCTTACTTTTTATTATTATTACTGCCAAGAAATATTTCAAATACCAAAGCACGATGTTAGTTAGCAATTAGAAGTTCTCAAAGGTCTAGTAACTATGCTGTACCTTGTAACCATTACACATTGCAAACCTTATCCATGCTTTAAATTTCTGGCTTGATATTTACCACAATTTTTTCTTTTCTTTTTGTATAGGTTTGGCTTATTTCCTCTTCCATGCATCAACATATCTGATGCGATCAATGAGCATAAATAAATCCTTATCAGGGATGGAAAGAATAAGCAATTTTAAGCCTAGAGTGTGTCCATAGCGAGTCAAGTGAGGAGTAAAAATGGCCAGGTTTAAACTGTTTGACACAAAGAAGGAATAGAAAATGAACAAAATGAAACAGTGAGTGAAATGTAAGAAAGAAAACCTCATGCAGTATTGCAGTCTGGCAAAATGAGAGGAGATAACACGTTATTCACTTTCAATGACAGTAATGTTACAGTGAAGTTTAACGCCTGTATTCACGTCCTTTATGCCAAGTTTTAGTTGAGGCATCACACAGAGATTTCTCAGAATGCAACATTTGATGGGCATGTACTTTACATGCTTGTAGAAGACAGTGTCTGCATGGCTGAGTTGTCCTCCTGGGAAAGGCAGGATGGAGCTCACAGACCTCCTTTGGCATTCCAGCCTGTGGGCAGCACACTCAGGAGCAAGGGAGACAGAGCACCACTTACTAAGGTGAAAATAAGCACTCTGCTGCTTTGCCTTTGAGACATGAGTGGGCACTCATAAATTTAAAGCAAATTCCTTAAGAATTTCAGGCCAGTACAGGCCAGTTCCTCAGGGGCTGACATGCAGGTCTCAGCTGACATGTCCTGCTTCAACAAACCATTGAATCAAAACTTACTCTTCTGATGTGTATACTGGAAGCCCTAGTTAGGGCTTCCAGTGCCCTATGAAGAAATTGTTTTGCTACTTTCTATGAATGGTTGTGCATTTAAATTTTAAAATTTCTAAGCTGTAACTTGTTTTCCATGGGTCTGACATCTCAAAGGTTTACTTATCCTTACCGGTTCATGCACATTCCCATTTTACCAGGACCAGTTTCCTTCAAAATGAAAGCTTAGATTTTTGTCCTCAATGATCTAAACAAACAAAATAGTCCTGATGATTAATAGGAGATATGATGAAAAATGCTTAGGGGAAAAAATCATTCAACTCAACTCTTCAAAGATGTGTTTATACATAAAACCAACTGCTGACTCATGGGTTTGACATCCACAGAGAACTGGTGTTATTAAATATCCTAGTATTTGGAAGTGTCTGCCATATGGAAATATAATTTAGAGATTAATCTCACATACTGTCCATCTGCCTTCAAAATCTATCTTTCCATCTGAGGCTGGCTGTGTAAACTGGATCTTGTATTACTATGTATTTACCAGGTGGCGGAACTTTAAACCCCAAAATTTATGTTTTCAAAAATTATTTTTCATTGACTTCATCATGCATATTTAGTGATTAATCATCACATCAGAAAATAAAGAGCATTAAAGCAGGCAGCCTCATTAAATCAATGATGAAATTATTATCTGTATAAGAACCATATCTATTATTTCCCATTAACAGTTTTTCTAATCAACAGACTGAAATCAGCACAGGTGCTTGAAGCTGCATTGAAGTATCTAATATTAGAACCCTGGCTTCTCTGCATTAGCTTTACACCAGTCAACAGATCAGAAAATTTACCTTTTTCCTGACTTGTTCATCTTTGGAAGAATGGGCTTTCACGTGCTTTCTCAGGGAACTTGGATCTGTGTATCGCTTAGTACATCCTGGCATCTGACATGCATAAGGTTTCTAAGGCAAAAAGAAAAAAGATAAAGGAACTGTTATATCACAGACCATTTTAACTCAAGAGAATACCTTGTGAGCCTTGGGATGCTGCAAACCACATTACTACAGAACACAAATGTTGTACATTATTACAAGCAGAATGCTCAGTAATTTATTAGAAAGGGAAAGGAGAAAAGTAAGGCTTATAAGGAACCAAAGGAATGCTTTTATTATGGCACCTGTCATTGTTACCTTTTTTTTTAATAATCTGTACAATGATTATTGCTAGTTATACTCACAATTCTTCCACCCTCAGAGCAATCTTTGACTTAATCAGAAATTACATTCCTAGTGAATCAGGTAAAGAAACTGCAGTAAAGGCCCAGATAGACTGTTTAGGATTATAGAAGAATCTGCTTCAGAAAAAAAGAACAAGAAAAAGTGTTAGTTTACTATATTTCAAGGAGAGAAAGCACAAACCAAAGCAAGCATTTAATACTGGAAGTTTCAAAACCACTACCCACTAAAATACACATTTTCATATGAAGTACAAGACAGACTCCTTCAGCTCACACTTTCTAGTAACATGTAATTTTAGAAAGATACCAGTCTTGTAATACCTTTATAATTTTCTTTTAAAAAGCCCAATAAATCTAACTCACCATATAAATACAAAACTTTATAAATCTCTCATTCTGCTTGTTCTAACTTGTTTTTCTTCCCTGACGACTTGTAGGTCTATCTAATACAGACTACTAATGAACATCTGTTTGCTGACATTAGGTATTTTGCCATTTAGCCATTACTGTTTCACAAAGCCTTTCTGAAAACACCTTGTACCAATTATTAACTTACCAGCCATAGCATTGATTATTTGAAATAGATAATTTAAGTTTTGCGACAGCCATTTAATTCAAATGGCATTGTTCTTTTCTTTCTGGACTTCTGCCCTTTGAAAAATGCTTGTCTCTGATGAACCACAACCTTTTGTTATGAAAAAAAAAAAAGTGTTTTAACAAACCTCAGCTGTCACTCAAATTCACAACTATTTGTTGGTGTGAAAATTTTTAGACAGACAAAATTATTCTCCCTCCGTTGACTTTCTGGTACATGTCCCAAACTTAAGTTTAACTGAGTTTTTGTCAGAGAATAGCAGTTATTATTGCAGATTGCTTCTGTGTCTCTGCACAGTGATTCTGGGTTTCCTAAAGATCAGCTAAGTAGGAGAATGTTACTGTCTCTACCTGCAGCAAAGCCAATGGAGCTGTGGCCTCTTTATTGGCTAGTTTGGCCCATCTACATCCATGCTTCTATTACAGCATCACTTCTGAAACAGTTTAAACAGGTTCATTGGACACTTCTCCCCTCTGTCTCTAAGGCTATGGGCTACCTGCTGCCACCAAGCTGGAGGAAAGGAAGACATGGTCTAATGTGCAGGGAACTGCAATGGGACTTCTACTTCCTTACAGTGTCCAAGTGTGTCCTCTGGTGCTTGGCACGGTCGCTGGAGTTGCTGAATGCTTTCTGGCAGCCAGGGTGCTGACAAAGATACGGCTTTTCACCCGTGTGGCTCCTTAAGTGAATCTTCAGGTTTTCTAGTCTGGAAAAGGCTTTCTTGCAACCCTCAAACTAGAAAAGAGAAAGAAATTATTTGACAGGAAAGCACACACAGTAAACTGCAACAGCAAACACTCAAGCAGGAGAGTGAAATGGCCTGCAGAGATCTCCAGCCTGCTATGGCTGGATGCCTCTCAGAGGTGAGGAAAGCCTGGCCTTACACTGGGGGTGTTGCTGGCACAATGCCTGGAACCATTTGGACCATAAGAATGCATTTATCTTCCCTGTACATGACTGACTTAATAAACTATGTCCTTCTCCCATTTCACAGATGGGACAGTGAGACACAAAGAGACTGGTAACTTCAGAGTGCAGCACCACTCAACCTATCTGGGGAACACAGACCCAGCTTATATACCCCAGTAACACACAGAAAGCAACATGGTCACTGTGCGGTTGCCAAGTTCTTCACTAGCTACCCTTATCTCAGCTCTGGGCTCACTAGCAACTGAGCAGAACACAGCCATCTCTGAGTATCAACCCAAACTACAGAGCAGCAGAAAACCATGCAGGAAGATGTCAGTCTGCTCTGGCTTGTTGATGGTCACAGAAAAAGTAAAATAATTTTTGGAATACTTCTTTACGTTTCTGCCATGAGTAAATATATGAGGTTTCCAAAACAATGTGAGCCCATTAAAATAGGATTTAATCCCTACAGGTAGGTAATAATCATGTGGCGTAGTATTTGTACACCTAATAACATAACGCACCTGCAGAAAAGCCTATGTTTATATGAGCAAAAAACCAGTTCTTCATCTATCATGTCCCCATAGTATAATTTATCTTAAAGGAAACTAAACCCCGTTAGGTCTTTGTGACACCAGTACTTTTATGCACATTTGATTTAAAATAGAACTGATTTCAACAGAACATTTATGAATATTAGCTAAAAGTATATATTTTTTTCCATTCTATCATTTAAGATCAATTAATATCATTAGCTTCAGCTGCTGCATATTGCACTGTGCAAGATCTAAAGCATTAGGCACCCATAACATGTTAGTCTGCAGTTCTTCCATACTGAAAAAAATGATTCATTAACAGATATGTCAAACATTTCTAATGCTAACACAAATTTTTCCACCATTTCTCTTCCTACTCATTTTACTCACTTGAAAAGAAACACACTATTTTTCAGTCATTTTAATATAACACAAAGATATTTTCTAATATATTATTCAGCGCATATATGTTTACAAAAGCACAAGTAGGAAAACACTAACATAATTCTAATCGTAATTAACAGACCTTTCTTACAAGTCTCTAAGACCCTCAAAAAAGAGAAAAAGCAGGATATAAAACTTTCATCACTTAATTTTAAGCAATTCAGCTTTTTGGATTTATGCAAGTGAGAGTTACAACTTCAAAGAATAAAATGCAGGAAGAAAATATAGGAAAAAAAAAAAAAATCATCTTCCCCAAACAAACCACGGAAGCTGAATTTCTGTGCCGGCACTCCCTAACAGCTTTTGTTCAGTTTTAGCAACAGAAGGAAACATAGACTGTATATTGCCCAGGAGAACATTGTATGCGGGAGGAAATATACACTACCTATAAAACAGCAATATCAAAATTAAGTTTAAGAAATTAAAACTTGAGAAAATGGATGAACCACCCCCCACTATATCATAACTGCAATTTTATCTTTCACACACATTAGTTTCAGAAATTTTCTCAACTCATGAAGGTTTTTATTTATATCCCATCCCTTCATCCAAAGCAAATCTACAGTGCTTTTCAGATTGCCCAATATTGATCACTAAACATTAATTTATGCTTGGACATATAGTGTTGCTTTTATGTTTAAGAAGGTTTATTATGTAAGCAAAACAGTCTACAACTGTAAAAATATTTTTACTTTTAGGGAACCATTATTAGAAAATACTCCAGGATATATAAACCCAAAAATTTAGACAGATGTTTCTTACCATTGGCTGGGCAAAATTACAACATTTTTTTTTAAGAAAGTAGAGAAAGCTGAAAGGCTGATGTAACGAATGGCCTTTGAAAAGAAAAACAATTCCAGAGCAGCTATGTAAAAATAACAAAGAAACATAGTGATTAGCTTATACTAAGTAGACAAGCTATTGTTTTTATTAAATTCATAAAAGAATGACCATCCTTTCTAATGAGAGTAACTAAGCTGTACATGAGCATGAGATAAATTCTAGTATATCCACCAACCTTCAATGCACAGAATAAAACTAACTCCAGTGAAGAAGTTCTAAAAGCAGGCCATCTGTTTTATTTCACAAGTTATTAAACTTTGAATTTTCAAGCTTGTAAGCAAAATTAAATGTGTAAATAATTGTTCATATGACTGTAAAACTAATATTGAACTGGGAAAAAATGTTTAACTGAGAACTAGGGAACACTGTCTTGCAAGTTTAAAAACTGTGTTTTTGAAGATTCCTGCATTGCTGATTATAATTCAGAAGCAGAAAAGATAGTCTGAAGTTCTCTCTCCCCTACACAGCCCTAAATTATTGTGTGTCACATTCCCAAGGCTATATATAGTTGTGTATTTCAGAAAAGGCCATTCTAACAGAACACAGAAACTACATGCCTGTATTATTAGAAAGACCATCTTTACACAACAGTTAATGAATGTTTACTTTAAAAATCAGACCTTTTGAAGCCTTGGAAATCTCTGATGCTTAGAAGGAACGAAAAGATATTATTTCCAGCAACACAGCACATACATTCTTTCCTGACAACCAGATTTCAATGAAAGTACTCCAGAAAAGACACAATTACCTTCAAGGGAAAAAATCACATAGACGGTAGTCATATTTTGAAATTAAATTCTTCATAGTTTCTAAGTTATTATTTTTATTTTTATTTTTAATTAGTATATTTACAGTGAAAGATAAAGCATGCCAATAAACAGCAAAAGCAGTGCCATGACTTTTTAAAAGACTTGTGTTCTCGTGAGGCTGCTTTTCATCTCTTTATACACAGAGATAGTGTTCAATGCAAAAGGTAGCCGTCCTGTAAAACTGCAACATAATTCCATAGATTTATATTAAATAATCTGTGCAGCATGTAAAACCCTGCTGGATACACCAGACACTTCTGAGCCCTGTCTGAGCCCTTCTTCCTTCCCAGACTGTAGAATTAGCAGCCTGATAACACATGGAAAGAGATGAAAGAGCTGATGGATATGGGAGAAGGAAATGAAACAAGTGGGACTCTACAGAGGTGAATAACTCCAAGATGCTTCATGTAGCCTTCTGAGTCTTCAAAAACAGAGTGAGATAGCTTGATGTAACACATGCTGAAAGATCCAAACTAGAATGACTCTTCCTGCTTGAAGACAGTACAAGGTCTCCTCTACCAGAGAAAGTTAACTGAATGAAAATATGAGTGGTTTCTGAATTTTAGGAAATTCTGTAATACATGAATATACATATATGCAAATAGAGTGAAAAAAACCTAAAAAACATAGAGGAAAAAATAAATCCAGAGTAGTTGCTTAGCATTTAAAAATATTTATTAGCAGATAAAGGACAAATTAATTATTTAACAATGTTTATGTCTGTCAATTAATTTTGAATGCTCTGATATGCTGACCAGACAGGTTCTTCTGTGTCAGCACCAAGGCAGGTGATATGACAAGGACACAGTATCTTGCCTCAGCTTTGCATTTATCACATGAGCAGACGTAAAAGGTAAAAGCTGTTCTTTATTTGGATTTCAAACACAAATGATGTGGTTCAACATTAATTAATAGTCTTCTAAAAAGCATTTCCTGTCCGCAACAGCATTAGCAGGGTGCTACTGTGCAAGAGATGTAAGGGCTTTCAAAAATTGAGAGTAAGACCTTATAGGAAAACCTTTTGAACAGCTTTTTATTCCTCCAGATTCTCCAGCCTGGCAATCTTGTGAACAACACGTAATTAGTGTCAGACATCATTCAAACTGCTGGCATCAGGTGCTTACCAGCAAGGAGGCTGCATGCCACAGCTGAGATTTAAAAGCCCAGGTTCATTTAATGTAAAGTAAATGCTGTGCTTTTAACCCTTCAAGTGTTTAAGTGGGGGGAAATGTAGCATTCAGAGCAGTGCCTTATTATAGTGCAACCATTTCTATCTGAACAGCATACATTTTGTGACACGGTGATTGAATTCTTTGGCTGATGCACAGTGTTTATGTAAGGCTACGTTTTCCTCAAAGCTATGCAAAGGCTAAGATTTATTTTCTGCATTTACAGTTAAGTTTATGCAGTTTATGAATGTCTCAGAATTCTTTGCTCCAGTAAATAATGACAGACAATGTTTATATGTGTTGCATACAATTACAGTAGATGTTTGTTTGCCCAACCATCATTCACAATTTGCTCCACAGCTTATTGAAGTCAATAGGCAATTACTCTTTTTTTATCTCCTAAAAAAAAAAAAAGTTTCCCAGCACTGCAATAACCTCTTTTCAGGTATTTCTGGTAAATTTCATTAAAATTTTAAAATCCAGCACTGCATAAATATAAATGCAAACAAAAGATAACTACAGATCGTGACAAAGTCTGAAGTAAACTTGTTACTAAGAATATTTTTGTGTGTGTGGCCAGAATGAGATTAATAAACTACATCCTAATCTGATTTCAGTTTTCCAATACATCCATCTCTTCAGCTGTCTTTTATTTAAGAATAGCTATACACTGCTGCTGTAACTGAAAAATGCAATGAAATCAATGGAAAAAAAATAGATATTAAAGCAGAGCAAAACATTACACATTGATTAACATATGGGAAATAGAATTGGGCTGCTTTTTCAGACAGACACATAAGAGATGCTAGTCTCTTACATTCTCTTTGAAAAAAAAAACTTTATCAGTCACATTGTACCCACTTGGCTTACTTTTTCCATATGTAGACAGGTTACTTGAGTTTATAAATAAAATTAAGTTTTAATCTTCTTTCTGAGGAGATCAGTATTCACAGAGAACATTCTGGTGTCAGTTCTGACAAGATAAACAGGATCAGTAGATTAAGTACGCCAACAAACCACAGTAA